AGGCAAATGGCTTTTTTTTATGAATTTGTACCCCAAACATTAGGCACCAAAAGATGCATGATTAATAAAAACACAGAGTCAGAAATTGGGTTTCAACCTGAAGACCAGAAAAGTAAATCAGCCAGCCACTGACTCTTACCTCAGCCTCAATCTGAAAATGGTGATCCTGCCTCCAGGAATCTCAGAATGAGATTATGTGTGAGAGCTGTGTCCTCCCATTTTATAATCCTCGCTAGTTCTGGGATTAAGGGCGTGTACCACTACTGCCTGGTTTCTATAGCAAACTAGTGTGGCTGCTGGGATTAAAGGTGTGTGCCATTGCTGCCTAGTCTGTAAGGTTGGCCAGTGTGGCTGTTCTACTGTTCTGATCTTCAGGCAAGCTTTATTTATTAAAATACAAATGAAATGTCACTACAATTTTTTTTATTGTTTATCCATTATTTATTTGATTTTTGAGACAAGGTCTCACTATGTAGCTTTTGATGGCCTGGACTCACTATGTAGACCAGGATGGCCCTGAACTCACAGAGATCTGCCTGAAGCTGCCTCTTGAGTGCTGGGATTAAAGATGAATGTCACCAGGCTAGCCATTATCTCTAGCTTTTTTCCAATCTTGTAATTCTTAACAATCTGCCTCCTGGCCACCATTCTCTTTAATTCTTATCTTTTATATCCACAGGGTGACATGTCATAGCCCTACTCAGGGGGTCTGGGCTGGGCTGTAACTATTTCCTTTGTGTTAAAACTTTGCAATCCTGTTTAGTGTGGTGACACAAGCTTTGAATTTCATCACTGGGAGGCAGAGATAGGCAAATCTGTGAGTCTGAGACCAGCGCCTGGTTTCCATGGTGAGTTCTAGACCAGCCAGGGCTACAAAGTAAGACCCTAAATCAAACAAAACACATCTTAACCCTGTCTGGAGCCAGGAGGGAGATCTTCAACCAGTTCCTGCTTGAGAAATGAATGGCTAACCTGGACAGGCTGGAGTCCAAGGCAGAGAGAACCAGACCTACATCACATCTGGTGTGGTCAGGGTGGCGGCCTTGTTCTTGGCGTTGGGTTAGGAAGCCTGTCTTCTGCACCCTGACATTATTTAGAAACACAGTCTCCATCTCTCTGCATTTCTATCATGTGTGGTCTTGAGCCCTCCTAATGGGGTTGACAGTTCTACAGGTCATTGACAGTCTTGTTAACACACTTCCTGAAGCCTGTGTCCCAGGTAGACAGAAGAATAGGAGGACAAAGCCAAAGAGACTGCAGAGTCATCACTGAAGAAGCCAAGACAGCTACACTGAATGACTGAATGGGGGAATTTAAGAGCATCCAAGGCATTTGGCTCCACGCGGCAGGATGTAGTAAGATGTAGTAAGGTCTCACCCCATCCTGCACTACCTCACAGATATACAAGTCGGAAAAGCCAACTTTGTCCTGAAGAAGTGCAAGGTGGGGATGGGGGGAGTGGAATGCAACGAAACTGGAAATGAAGCAGCTGCCCCTGAAGCGTGCTTCCTGCTAAGCTGCCTTCGCAGCTTTCACCCTTTTCAGGAGCCTTTCCAGGTGGCTGCACCCCCGCACTGACTGGGTAACAGATGCCTGCTGTGACATCACGCTGTGGCAGACTGGTATGAAGAGCCCTGGCCGCGGGCCAGGAAGCCTGGACTCGGATCCACTTGCAGCACTACTTAGCTTTGTGATTACTGAGGGTGAATCGAGGTGTCAGCTGTCATTTCTTACTTTCTGCTTTCTCCCCTCAAGTGAAAGGTTAGCCTCTGAGAGACGGGCAGCTTTTCTGAAGAACAAGAACCTTCTGGAAGGCAGGCATCTGGAGCAGTTCATCTCATAAAATCCTGCGAACTGGTGAGATCTTGATTCCAGAACACAACCAAGTTTGAGATGCACCTGTCCTTGCTCAAGTGGCAGCCAGAACAGCAAGCTGCCCAGCACAATGACAAGTATTTATTGAGCATGTGTCCTTCCACGACAGTGCTGCTGTGCACCTATTTCCATCTTTAGCAATAGTGTACTTTTATTTAAGTTTTGAGGGCTGCTCATTGGACCCAGGGCCTCGCACATGCCACTCAGGCCCCTTGCCACTGAGGTATACCCTCAGGCCTCTAAACCCACTTTTAAAAAGCACATAAATGGTGGGGGAGGATGGATCTGGGAGGAGTCAGAGGGGGGTGAATGTGATCAAAACACATGGCAGGAAAATTTCAAAGAAGTAATAAAAATGTAGTTAAGGGAGTGGAGAGATGGTGCAGCAGTTATGAGCACTTGCTAGGGAGTTTGAGTCCTGGCACCCACGTGGAGGCACACAACTTCAATTCTACTTTCAGGGCATCTGAAGCCCTCTTCTGACTTCTGTAGTGCATAGGCATACATGCAGGCAACACGTATGAGAGAGAGAGAGAGAGAGAGAGAGAGAGAGAGAGAGAGAGAGAGAGCTCAGGAAAACGGGAACGGGCTGGGGAAATGATTCCATTGGTAAAGCACTTGCCTGTCAGGCTTGAGTACCTGAATTCAAATCTCCAGACCCGACATAAAAAGCCAGGTTTGATGATACCCACCTGTAATCCCAACAATGGTAGGATGGGATCTCAGGCAACTCTGAGAATTCACAGGCTAACTGGCTTGAACTGCATGTCAACGCTGCAGGTCAACGAAATTCCTTGTCTCCAACAAAACCTCTAAGGCGCTAGAAGACTGCCATGTGAGGCTGACCTCTGCCTAACACATATACCTAGTGCCTGTGCGGCGGTAAAGAGTGGGAATGGATGTCTCTTTGGGTGGAAACATGCTGCTGCCTCCTCCCTTAGGAGTTAATCCAGCTATGCCAACACCATGCTAAAGAGATGGGAGGAATAATTATCCCTTTAATGAGATGCTGTACTTTTCCTTCCCAGAATCTCCACTTGAGTGCAGTTGCTATCGGACCTCCATGAGCATCTGTTGGGTCTCTCTCTGTCAGAGCAGGCTTTCCTCTGATACTCTGGGCTTCACTCTTTCTCTAAAGCCCCCTCCCTCCTTCCCTACCATAAGGCTGTTTCTCCTCCCCGGGTCTGACCTCCATAATGGGGGTCTAGGCGTTAGACAGATCCCTGGTAGGCAGAGAGATAGGAAGAGAGGCCGGCTAGATAATAAACACGGAAAAATTGCAAGATGGCACACTTCCAGCTTCTCCTTTACCCTGCTGACCTGACACAAAGGCCTGGCAACTTAAGACCGAGTCCAGTTACTAATTCTGCAGTCATTACCCTCCTTCCCATCCCTGCACCAGGACCAGCATGACCTGTTCAAGGCCGGACCAAGAAATGCTTTGCTCAAAGTAGCTAACACTAAGTTAGGGGAAGAAGATGTCCCCAAAGACCCTTACGATTCCCCAGTTCTTAAGGAGAAACTGGATTTGCGTTTCCTGAGTTCCGCCCTCTGCACACATGCACACTTTATATATATATATATATATGTAGAATATTGTCAGGCCTAGTGGCACAGACTGTAATCTTAGCACTTGGGAAGCTGTAGCAGAAGGAAGACCGTGAGTTTGAGACCGGCCTGGGCTACACAGAGTAAGACCCTGTCTTAATAAGCACGAAAGAGAGTTAGAGACATGGCTTGGCTTACTCTATGAAAATGCTATTTTTGTATATATGGTGTATGAACATGTGTGTGTGTGTGCACGTGCACACACATATGCTCCCAGAATTCAAGAAGGTTACGGGGTGTCCTGCTCTATCATTCTCTGCTTTATTCTTTGGAGACTCACTGGACCTGGATTTAGGCTGAGGACCAGCAAACCCCAGCGACCCTCTCGTCTCTGACCCTCGCAACACCTGGGTGGGCATAAGGCCCTTCTTTCCTCATGGGTATTGGGTCCTCAGATTCTCAGGCTTGCACAACAAGCCCTATTATTCACTAAGTCATCAAATAGCCCAGTAAATTATATGTTCTTAAGTCTGATGTTTAAACTGGTGATGGTGGCTCCACCTGTTACGTCAGTGCCGGGGCAGCTAAGGCAGGAGAATTGCCGTGAGTCCAAAGGCCAGCCTGCGTGACGAGTACGACCCTGCCTCAAAAACAAACAAACAAACAACAACAAAGACCCAAAACAAATTTTTCACAGCTAGAATAAAGTCCAGAACTTAGGGGTGGGGGAGAGCAGTTGGGGCGGGGGGAGAGGAAAGGACGCTTGGGACCTTGTGAGAGTAGTATGACTCTGCTATGAGTCTCTGCTGCAGTCGCATTCCTGAGCTGGGTCCTCCCCGCCCTTTCCTCTGCCCTTGGGAAGACAGCCTCCTACTCAGGACTGTCAGTGCTGATTTACCCAGCACAGCCTGTTCTAGGACAAGCAGGCTGGAGTCCTTTGAGTTTTGGTATAGAGCCTTGACCGTGCTAATGAAAGAAGACGAACAGCCGTTCTACTGCTTGAGGGCTGGTGGGAAACTAAGCCCTTCCCTGCTAGCACCTTGGGCTAGGGGAATTTCCTTCAGATTTCAGCAAGCCACGTCATCTGTCTCAAAAGGCTGGAATCCTGAACTCTTTAGGACACCCATCAAATTAGGGCAGTTGCCTAACCACGGCCTGTTTATTTCACCCTAAACCACAGTCCCAAGTCCTTTGCAGATCAAAGCGCGTCTGCTCAAGTTGATCGATAAGCAAACAATAAATCATCTTACCGTCCCATGGACACCTAGAGCCCGGTTTCAACTTTCAACTTAATGTGATTTGCGCAACTTGGGCTTTACGTGGGTTGATGACCGGTAGGTAACATGGGTTATGGGGATGGTCAGCACCTGGGAAGGAAGTGGAAATGCAAGACGAAGTGCTCCAGGCAACACACACCTTGTTCACTCAACAATTATCAGGGGAAGGTTATTTAAGGGCTACATACTTGGAACGAAATAAAATAAATACACAGACCAAAACACACTGGTTTGCAAAAGGTCACATTCTACTTACTACACTGACTGATCAGCAAAGTATGTTCAGTTTGTCAGGCACTGACAGAGCAATGCCAAGCAGCCGAGGCAGAGGAATCCGGAGGCTAAGGGAGGCCACTGAAAAGAGGACAGACAGGACAGCAGCCTGAAGGTGATGGGCCAACCATTCAACTGTCAGCTATCCAGGGGAAAGCATTGTGGGTAGAGGGACAACCAGCACGATGGCCCAGGATAGGGAGGGGCTTTTTGATTCTAGAGGCAGGGTGGAGGCCAGTGTGCTGTCCTGAGATAAAGGACGGTCAGAGATACAGTCAAGGGTAAGAAGGGTTGAGGGCAAGAATAAGCAAAGCTTTGGAAGCCACAGGGGTCGCACATCAGTGATTTACATTATGATTTATAACAGCACAATTGCAGTTCTGAAGCAGCAATGACAATAATTGTATGGTTGGGGGTCACCACAACATGAGGAACTGTATTAAAGGGTCTCAGTGTTAGGAAGGCTGAGAACCACCACATTAGAGGGACTTCTCTCAGACTGAAAGCCGGGAGATGGACGGTTTTAACCCAGTTTCCGTTTAGAAGGGTTTTATAGATGCTGTTTGAGCGTTTGCTATCCGGCCAGGCTGGAGGCAGGGGGATGACGGAAGAGGGCACACATGCAGTAATGTCTGCGACTTGATGAGGCAAGGAGAGATCAGGAGAGAAATGGCCATTGCTGGGGAGATGGTCAGAGACCTGGCAGGTGGAGTGGGAAGAACAGAGTCTGCCTAGAGCTGAGCCCAGAAGCTCTGGTTCCTGGTAGCTGAGGGAAGTCCGTTGAGAGAGGGGACTAGGATCCCATTATAGAATGAGTGTTTTCCACTGCAGCACTGATGGGCCAGATGCACTTGGATTTTTTACTATTTTTTTAAAAGTATATTTAAGAAATTTCTTTATTTATTATTTGAGACAGATTTTCGCTTTGTAGCCCTGGCTGCCCTGGAACTCATTACATAGACTAATCTGACCTGGAACTTGGAACAACCACCCTGCTTCTTCCTCCTGAGTGCCAGATTAAAGGCATGCTACCACACTCCACAAGACAGTTTTTAGTACAGAAATAACCTTAGAAAACCATTTAAAAGTTTGGTAGAGCCAGGCAGTAGTGGCACAGGAAAGTTTGGTTGATGAGAATTTCACATCACCAGGATGTAAGGCGAGACCTGAGACACCTACCCCTATGTCGTAGCCTCCATTTCAGGTGTGTGGCCCTCTCAGGAGAGACACGGTCCACTGCGATTCCTCCACCAACCAATCTGGATATCCAATTGCCAGAGGTCCTGGGAGCTGTTGACTGAGGCTGGGTGCTCACGGGTCCCCCACTTGAGCTTGGAAGAACTTCCAAATTGACCTCTCCTAAGTTAAGTGTTCCACCCACCACCCCCACAGATGTACTGCACTGTATCTCTCCTGTGTGACTTGAGTCACACAGGGGAGACCCCACTTTTGCTCCTGTCTGACCAGATGTGGGTGCCTATTGGACAACCTGTTCCCAGGCTCGCTGATACCCAGTGTTTTCCGTCCTGCAGCATCCACAATGAGGGTCCATTTGTTACACAGAACCAAGACTCTGGCAGTTTGCGTCAATGGATTGATGGGTGAGAATTCTGTGGTGTGAGCTATGGTGATTCCCACCTAGCCAGAATTGTCCGTCTGTAGGAAATTTCCACAGTAATAGAGAAAGCCTGGTGCCAACTCTTGTGAACTCTTGAGTTAGAATAATATTTACATTTTCAAATGGTCACCAAACTCAAAGTAAGACTATTTCGGGATACAGAAAATATGTGAAATGCAAGTTTTGATGCCCATGAGGAAGCTTTTTTTTTTTTTAACCAAATCACGTTCTTCCTTATCTTGCAATGGGTGTGCTGAGCATGAGTGAGGCTCCATTTCAGTGCCCAGCACCATATCCAGACCTTACACATTTTGGGAATAGATTTCTTTCCGTTAACTCCTGCTGTGATCAGTGAGTGTGCTTAGCAAATTTAGGGAGCGGTCCCCTGAGACTCTTTCATCGTCCTCTGAATGACTCCTTTTGTCCTCGTCACCCACCTACAGCCTTCTTTCCTTCTCACTGTCTTCTGTGTGAACCTGTCTGGGATGGCTCAGTCCAGAGCAGTCATTATTTTCTAATTAGATCTTAGCTCTCTCTCCATTAAAAAAAAATGCAGTGCTAGAAGCAAAACTTGGGTCCTCTGTAAGAGTAACAAGCACTCTTCATTACTGAGCCATGTCTCCAGCCCGTCTTCTAATTCATAACCCCTTCTCACCATTGCAAGGAGACCCTTGGGACTCTCTACACCCTACAGAACCTAATAGAATATCTCCTGCTGAAATATATACTCTTCCAAGACACGATCCTTTTAGGAAACAGAGAAGAGGTTGTCAGAGAGAGAGAGAGAGAGAGAGAGAGAGAGAGAGAGAGAGAGAGAGAGCGCAGGCAGTGTAGTAATCAAAGGCTAAGTTGGTTCCCCTCGATTTTGATTTTGTGTTGTTCATTAGATAAGGCTGTGGAGAGGCCCACAGCAGTTGGAAGATGAAGCAAGAACGTCCATAGAAGAGTAGAGATGGAGGTTGTGCTGCTAATTTTAAGTCAACTTGGCACAGGCTAGAACTGTCTGGGAGGAGGGAATCTCACCTGAGAAAATCCCTCCAAAAGATGGGGCTGTAAGGAGACCTACAGGCATTTTTTTAATTAGTGATTGATATGGGAGAGCCCGGCCCACTGTGAGTGGGAATGACCCTGGGCTGGCGGTTCTGGGTTCTACAAGAAAGCAGGCTGAGCAAGCCATGATGAGAAAGGCAGTAATCAGTGCTCTACCATAACCTCTGCTTCAGTTCTTCCTCCAGGTTCCTGCTAGGCTTGGATTCCTGCCTTGGCTTCCTTCAATGGATTGTGATTCAGGATAGGTAAGCCAAATAAACCATTTCCCCCTCAGGTGCTCTTGGTCATGTGGTGTGGTCCTTCTGTCTATGTATTGCTTTTATTTGTTAATGAATAAAGAAACTGCCTTGCCCTGTTGATAGGGCAGAACTTGGGTAGGTGTGGAAAACTGGACAAAATTCTGGGAGGATGAAGGCAGAGTCAGGGAGACACCATGGATCTGCCGCCAGAGTAAGACATGAGGAAACTTTGCCAGTAAGCCACTGCCACGTGGCGATACACAGATTCATATACTCTCCTAACTGTAATCCCCTCTAAAAATTAAAATAAAAAAGCAGATCCCATACTTCCAACACAGGATATACATTATTGTTTCAAAATGTAGGGAAAGAAGCACAGTGAAGAAATATGGGACTAAAGCAAGACCAAAAACCAGTTGGGCATACCCCAAACTTCGTAAGTCCGTGTCTGATGTCAAAACGCTCTTCAGATCGCCAACTCTGTTCAGTTTTGTTGACAACACATTTCTTTCTCTTGGGCTGGCTCCACTCCCTGTTAGCAGCTCTCCTTGGCAGGTGTTCCACAACTCTGGCATCCCCAATATCTTTACATCCCCAATATCTTGGGTTCCCCCAGGCAATCCAGGCTTCAACTTCACAGCTTCACATAATGACCTCCCTACTCGACCTCCATTTAGGGACACTCCTGACCCATGCCTATCTCAGTGACTTTCTTTAGGTGAGGAGGGAAATTCCATAACCTGTCTCTTCTATACTTAACTCTAAAGCTAGAAGTATGTGGCCAAACCTGTCAAGTTCTGCTGCTTATTGGGGCTGGACCATGGCTCCCTTATTCAATTATATCTTTACCAACTCTCTGTCCTTCACTGCCTAAGCTTGGCTGTCCTAAAACTTGCTCTGTAGACCATGCTGGCCTCAAACTCAGATATCTGTCAGCCTCTGCCTTCCTAATGCTGGGATTAAAGACCTGACTCTAAGCTTTTCTTTAATTCCTTTCCACAGTTGGAAACTTAGCTGGGTGGGATCTTGCTGTTAGGTCAACACTCCCTTTATTCTCTTTCTTAATCAGTTTGTCTTCTTGGACACAGGACTTAGCTCCATTCCACTTCTTGGTGCTCTTTTTCTCCTCAAAATTTACATCTTGTAATTTACCCTGCTCAGTTTGTTCCTTTTCATTATAAATCGTCATTAAAGTTAATGTAATAACCCTATTACATTACAGAATCTATACTAGGCTGTTTTGAGATTTCTTCTGACAACAGAATTAATCCAAAACTCTTTACTTTAGCCTTAGGTAGACTCTTTGGACAAGTGCAAAGGCAGCTACTTTCTTCACTAAACTATCACAAGAATGATCTCTAGGCAACATATGAAAATTCTTCTCCTCTGAAATGTCTTGAAGCCCCCTGACAGTTCAAATAACTCGTAGCACCTCTGTCTTCCATGCTCCAACTAGTATAACCCATTAAGCGGCGCTTAAAGCATTCCACTGTTTTCATAACTCAAAGTACCGAAGTCCAAATTCCTCTAAAGAAAACCATGGTCCAGCCTATCACAGCAATACCCCATACCTGGTACCAACTTCTGTCTTAGTTAGGGTTTCTATTGCTGTGAAAAGACACCATGTCCACAGTAATTCCTATAAAGAAAAGTTTTAATTGGGGTGGCTTGCTTACAATTTCAAAGGTTCAGTCCATTATCAACAAGGCAGGGAGCTTGATGGCATGCAGGCAAATGTGGTGCTGGAGGAATAGCTGAGAGTCCTACACCTTGCAACAGGAAGATGATTAAGATACTGGGCAGTATCCTGAGCACAGGAAATCTCAAGGACTACCCCCATCTTCCTCTAACAAGGCTATACCTACCCCAACAGAGTCACATCTCCTAATAATGCTACTCTCTATGAGATTATGGGGCCAATTACATTCAAACTGCCACAGGGTGGTTTGAGAGATTTAAAGGAGACAGAATTTGTTGCTACTTTATGAGATGGTCTCACTTTGTAATCCAGGTTGACTTAGAACCAGTTGCTACTGCCTCAGCCTCTCTAAATCTGGGATTACAGGCATGCACTACTACGTCCAACAAGGCGGTAGGCTTTGCTGTGGAGGGGAATACTGCTGCTGGTGGTGACAGTCACGGCGGAGTGTGGTGAGCTCTTCTTTTCTCCTGTTCCTTCTGCTCCCAGCCCCAGCTGCTGCTCTTGCTTCCTCCGTCATCTCCCCTATTTCTTCCCTAAAAGCCAGATAAGCAAAGGCAGTCTGATGTATGGGTGGGCGTGACTTTATAGGACAAAGGATAATGAGACAAGATAAGATGATATCCTTGAATAGGGGGGTGTGGGAATGGAGTGTGGAGAAACTGTGGTAGACGGCAGCAGACTTTCTCTAAGGAGCCAGAGAGTAAAGAGTTTTGGAATATGTAGGTCATATGGCTTCTGTACCATGTAATGTCATGTAATGTAAGACAACGTGTGCATGGAAAGGCATGGCTGAGTGCCAGAGGGATGGCATAGCAGACGGAGGAGCCTACACACAGACACACTTGAGTGTGTCCTCACACACATGCACATGCGCACACGCACACACACACACACACACACACACACATACAAATGAGTAAAGAAAGTTTCAGTGCTTGTTTCACATCACACAATGTAATCTTTTCATTTGACTGCAGCCACAGAACCACCCCATGATTATGAAGTCTAAGAAGAGACCCACTTCTGCCACCAGGGCCCTATTTACCTTCTTCAGAGACTCCACCTCACCGCCTGTCCCTAGCATGGGGTCCCTATCACGCTGCTGTCGCTCTGTCCCCAGTAATCCGTCACAGCATGTCCCTCTTGACAAACCCCCAACCTTTAAGCAGCTATGTTCTCATGGCAGCTTTGTCTGCACATGCCTGTGAGCATGGTAGACACTTCGCAGCTGCCTTCTGCCTTGCCTTCTCCTGCATTGCCCTTTTCCACAGTGACAGCCAGTAGATTCAGTGGCTCCCATTTCATCACTTCAAGGTCACTGCCGCTGCTGTGCTACGTGAGATCTTGGCTCCAAGCCCTGGCCTGAAAACCTTCTGGGAAGATAGACTGAGTTTCTCATTAATCCATTCGGTCTAGAAGTGTCCACGGGGTGCCTACTGTGTCCCAGGCACTGTTGTAGGTTTCAGGCCCATATCGCCCCCCGAGCTTGTCTTCTGGTGAGAGAAAGCAGAGAATCTGTGACGACAGAATACATGATCTTTCGGAGGTGATATGTGTGGAGGGGAGGGGAGGGCGTCAGATGGTTAAGAGAACCTCGAGGCTCGAGTGGGAAGTGTAGCGGCTGCCATCTGAATCCTTGGGCCATGTGAACAGACAGAGGAGATGGAATAGATAAGTGTGTGGGCACCCACAGAAAGATTGTACAGACCAAGGCTTGCTACACTGCACCCCTGAAGCTGAAGCTTCCCTGAGGGCTGGAACAGAGAGCAAGGTGGGGGCGGCTTGGATTTCAACCTGAGAGATGAACAGAGGGTTATCAGCTCCAACTATACCTCTAGCCAACACAGAGACCTCTAGCCAGGTGAGGCTCTAAGTACGTGAAGCGTGGCTGGTCCAAAGAGATGGCACCTCACGTTTGAAAGGACGCAAACATAAGATTCGTTAGTTTTGTCTGGATGTCATTTGACAACAACAGTAATTTTGTGGTATTGGGTTAACTAAAGCATATTATTGCCTTTTTCCTCATTGGCCGTAGAGGGAGGATAGATGGGTCCCCAGCAGTTGTACTAGAGTCAGCCAGGGAAGTCAGAGCAGGGTCCTCACACTTGCTGCATCTGTTCAAACAGCCACACTCTCCAACCCAGAAAAGCAAATTGAACATGCACAGGCAGTGTTTCCATCAGTGTGCAAAGGATACAGGTATGACTAAGGTGGGCTAAGTGCCTTTGGATAGAATATTCCAGACCATCCATTTAATGAAGAGAGGTCACACCAGTCTTCATGCAAAAAAAAATAATAAACACATAGATAAATAAATGATAAATAAAGCTTTAAAACTTTAAAATCATATTATTAAAATACATTTCACTTATTTCTCATTCCTTTTGAAAACCTCTTACTATTTAATCCCCATGCATAAGTGTCTATCTATAAATGGCCCACAGTGGTCTCTGGTTCCTCTTTACAGGGTCATTCGATGATTACTTCTGAGTGCGGTGGCTGGGGGAAGACTCTAAGTTGACCTTCTCTGGTGTGTCCTTCCTGTGCTCCTTATCCTACTGCACTGTGGACTGAGATAGCCACCGGGGCATGCAAAACCTTCTCACCAAGCCTTTGTCTTCAGCGGAGAATTTTGCTTGGTTTCCTAATTGACTTGTCTGATTGAGCCTGGGCAGCTTCCATGCTGTGACTTACAGATGCCTGCGATGCCTCTGCTCTCCCTGAAGGACTGGTGATTTCTGTGGGGAGTAGTTTTCCAAATCAGTTTGTCGGGATAGATTTTGGTTTTGGGCTACTTCAGTGCGGAAACTGACACCAGCTCCTCTTTTCCAGAGGGCAGGGCCACCTCCTATGTGTACTTCGATACCCCCTCTTTTGCGTTTGTAATACAATCTAATCTTAGCTCAGCACAACGCCACCAACGTATTGACTGTATGTGGCATCCTTTTGCAAGGTTAAGTGTGGGGTGTGACTGATAACAGACCACCTTAGTGAGTGTTGGTTATGGACGTCATCCCCGTGCTTTTCCCCAAATAGAAGGCATGTGCCCCTCGACTCCAAGTTCTTTGCCCAAGCAGCTAAAATACAATGGCTAAGGCTAGAAAGAAGTCTCAGCAGTTAAAAGCACCTGTTGCAGGGCAGTGGTGGCGCACACCTTTAATCCCAGACATCAGGAGGCAGAGGCAGATGGATCTCTGTGAGTTCGAGGCCAGCCTGGTCGACAGAGCTAGTTCCAGAATACCAAAGCCTACACAGAGAAACCCTGCCTCAAAGTTCCGCACTCCCCCGCTCAAAAAATGCTTGTTGTTTTTGCAGAGTTCAACTCTCAGTACCCACATAGCAGCTCACAAGCATCTATAACTCCAGTGCAAGGAAGTCCAGTGCTCTGATCTCCGAAGACACCAGGCACACACGTGGTACACATACACGCATACAGGCAAAACATTCACGCATAAAATAAAATGAATAAATCTAAGAATAAATAAAAGACAATGATTAATAACTTCTCTTACGTGAATGAAAGATGCCCTTAGGAAATGCATTCTGGAGGTCAGGATTTCAAAACAGATGACCGCGAGGTGGTGTCAGGCTGATGCTGGGTTATGGCAAGGCCATGCTGCTGTCTCTCCTAGGGAGGCCTCTTTTCCCCATGCGTGTCTGCTTCTGCCGGCCTTCCCTCCAGTTTTAAAGCCACACTTCACCTCGTCCTTTTGACTTTATTATTATAGCTCCAAAGAAATGTAAAATACAGCAATGAGGGGGTCACGTTGTCTTTCTATTGGATGAACCCAATGAGAGGTCTCCTGTGGTTCTCTGAGAATCTGAGTTTCTTTTCTGACAGAAGTGAGGGGGATGTGTTGAGTCCTAAGCAGAACTTGGAACGCTCTGGCCTCTGTAAGATCACACTGGGTGCTGGATTGTGGGATTCGGGGTGCAAGGAGAAGGAGCTGTTTTGAAGGTTTCGGAACCAACAAGATTTCCCATGGGATTGGATGTGGGGTGTGGCCTGAGAAACGGGAAGGATGGGGCTGTCAGAGACTGTTGCAGGAAGGTGGGCAGAGCAGTGGGCTAGGGGGATCAATTCTGGGGTCAGCTAAGCAACCATGTGGAGATGTTGGAGGTCGGAGGTTAAATCATGAAGTTTAGGATCAGGAAGTAAATTCGGAGTCATGGTACCGAGTAGTACTCATCAAAGGACCAGCTTGTGTTCAGAAAGAAGCATGAGGACTGAACTTTTAGAACACCTGCCATTCATATATTGGGGAGAAAAGGGAGAATCCTTAGAGTGAGGCAGAGGGGGAGCCAGATGATGGTCCCTGGGAGTCCCCAAGTGAAGCAGCACACTCTGCAGATAAGGTCAGGGCAGGGACAGCGCTGGACAATGCTGACCACGGGTTTCCATGAGAAGGCTGTGAAGTCCCACAGTTTCTTTGGAACGGTCTGAGCTAAAGCTTACTTGTAGGGATGATACCAAGAAAGATTCTAAAGCTTTGCGGTCAGCGGTGAGCATGGAAATTTCCAGGAATGTCAGAGGAGGAAGAAAGAAGTGGGACCTCCGCTGACAGAATATTGGGGCCAACGAAGGACCAGAATAACAAACTGTGGGTTTGCGTGTTTGTGAGGATAACTGAAAGAAATGAGAGCATCCCCATGGGGAGAAGATAGAAATTAGGGGAGTTCTGCTCCCATGGAGATGGGGATTCTTTTAAATTCAAGGCTTATAAAGGGGTGCTCCCCGGAGCCATAACTGTTTGCCTTACTACAAGGGACAAGAAGGCAGGCCACATGATCGTGACGTAATGGTGTATTTGAGGAAGGACTGCCTGGTGGCTTTATTTATTCAGTGAGGTGGGAAGTTAAGACTATCCACGGGGTGGCACTTTGAATACCTCTGGAGAGATGTATTGGAGAGGTATATTTAGCTACTAGCGCCAGCCTGACTGGGCTGTGGAAGGATGGAGTGATCTCTTTGAACTTGGCTTTAGAGTGATGGCCCAATGTTATGGTACAGGTAATGAGGTCATATTCAAAGGAGTGATCTTGACTGGGTTCATGCATAATTCGGTTGGTAAAGAGTCTGCTGTGCAAACCTCAGGACCTGAGTTCATATCCTCAGGGAGCTAGCTCCCGTACACGTGGGTAGGGACAGGGGAAGTCCTAGAGCTCGCCGGCCTGCCAGCCTAGCTAGCCAGTTAGTTCTGGATTCAGTGAGAGAGTCTGTCTGGAGCTACTGAGATGGCTCAGCGGGTAAAGACACAGTCAAACCTGAAGTCCATCCTTGGGTCTGCTATAATAGGAGAAAACTGAACCAAGAAGAGTCCTCTCCCCTCCACCTGTTCTGAGGCAAGCTCCACTCCTTCCCCTCCCCACCTAACTCCCAACCCTCTCCACATGCACAGAGTCGTCTTAATATTACACTCACTTAAATATTTGCTTCCTGCTTCCCCTCATCCCATTAGCAGCGGAACTATTTGTAGTATATACCTCCGAGAAAGCCCAGCTTGCTCTCGCACTCCTCCCGATGGCCATAGGAGGAATTGCAGCTGAGTCACCACACAAAACACGGGTGCCACCGTGTGGCCAGTGACTGCAGCAACAAACGTGTCAATCTCATACCCACTGGAGGATTTTAAGGTTTAAGGTCCTGGGTCACATGATCAGTAAAACCTTGAAACCCTGACCAGACCAAAGGCTGGTCCTTTGTTTATTTGTTTGTTTGTTTTTATCTAAGTCGCTCTCCCTTTCCTCACCTCCCTCTTTCCTGCATTCCTTCACTGCTGGGGGTGACCCTCTCATGAGAAAGCATCCACTTCAGCAGTCAGCTCAGGATCAAAAAGTCCTTAAGAGACAAGGAAATGGAACAGCTCCTAAACTGTGGAACATCCGTCGGAGAGATGTCCTCTTCACTGGGAGTCCTAGGTCATCCTCTCTTCTTTCCAGGATCACAGTGTCGTCATGAAAGCCACAAGTGTCAAAGTACAAGTTCCAAGCCATCCCAAGGATAGAACTGGTTGAAGTCCCCAGTTTCATTACTAGATACACATTTAATTTGGCTGATTGCAACTGAGTACCCATTCCAGTCTTTCCTTTTTCGTGTGGTCTCAAATTCCAGACATATTCAAATCTAAAGCTTCTTCATTTCCCGAAAAGAAAATGTGGGCTGGGGTGGGACTATTGCTTGACACGCAATGCAGAAATCAAACCCCACTGTCCAGTTCTTCGGCCTTTGCTGGTGCCTTTGTCTCCACTGGCCTTCCTGTCAACCAGTTTGTCCTCCGTCAAGTCGGTGAACTAGCTCGCTTCCTTCCCTCCACGTCTGCTTTTGCTTGATCTGCAGCAGATGGCTCTTGGGTGTCTGCTTTGTCGTCCCAAACTGCTCCCAAATTCCTCTTCTACCAAGGTCTCCTCCCCACCTTCCCACCATACCCAGGACTCTTCTAAATGCTGTGTGGTGTTTAAAAAAAAAAACCAAAACATTTGGGGTGGGAAATAAAGTGTGCACAGGCAGACCAACTACAGGTTCTTACATTTTTTATTGCAATTTTATGTGCATGAGTGTTTAGTCTACACATACGTCTGTGCGCCACATGGATGCCTGATACCTGAGGAGACCAGAAGAGGGCGCTGGATTCCCTAGGACAGGAATTACAGACGGCTACGAGCTGCTGTGTGGGTGCTGGGTACTGAAACCCGGTTGTCCAGAAGAATAGCCAGGGCTCTGAACTGCTGAGCCATCTTTCCAGTTCCAAAAGTTTAAAATAGACAGCTTCCTTCCCCCCCCCACCTTTTTCATTTCTTATTTCTCCCTTTTCTTTTTCCCTCCTCTTCCTTTTCTTTCAATCTCATGTAGCCAACACTGCTCTTGAACTCACTATGTAGCCAAAACTGACCTTGTCTTGAACTCCTGATCATCTTGCCGCTGTTGCCCAAGAGCCAGATGATAGTTCCATGCCACCATGGCCCAGGCTGCTGGGTTTATGCTCTTGGTCCCCTTACCTTTCCCTCATCCTTTCCTGCCTACTGCCACAGCCAGCGGCACCACCGTTGTGGAATATTTGCTTAAGATGTGTTACACTCACTTATGCTGGGGAATATTTGTTTAATGATGCAAGGTTGTGCTGTGTTCTTTTCTGTCACATTTGTTTAACTTTGCCTACCTAAAACACCTCATTGGTCTAATAAAGAGGTGAACAGCCAATAGCTAGGCAGGAGGGAGAAATAGGTGGGGCTGCCAGTCAGAGGGAATAAATCAGAGGAGAAATCTAGGCTCAGAGAAGAGCGAGGAGTGAGAGAAGGAGGAGGGGAGAACACCAGGGACCAACCACCCAGCTACACAGCCAGCCACAGAGTAAGAAGGAAAGAAACACATAGAACAAAGAAAGGTGAAGAAGTGCAGAGGCAGGCTGGAGAGATGGCTCAGCGGTTAAGAGCACTGACTCTTCTTCCAGAGGTCCTGAGTTCAATTCCCAGCAACCACATGGTGGCTCACAACCATCTATAATGAGATCTGGTGCCCTCTTCTGGGGTGCAGGTACATATGCAGGCAGAATACTGTATACATAATAAATAAATAAGTAAATTTTAAAAAAAAAAAGAAGTGCAGAGGCAAAATGTAGTTAAAGAGAAACAGGATGATTTAAGTTAGAAAAGCTGGTGAGAAACAAGCTAAGGCCAGCTATTCATAAGTAAGAATAAGTCTCTGTGTGTTTATTTGGGAGCTGGATGGTGGGCCCCAGAAGAGTAAAAAAAACCAACTGCACACTACCACAGCCAATGCTTATATACATAATGTAAATACATGTGCACGGTCTTGCTAAGCTCACCTTGAATTTGCAATCCTCCTGGCTCAGCCTCCTCAGTCTGTACCACCACACCCACCAGTCAAGGTTCCATGAGTCTGAGGAGAGGTCTCATTTGGGATGGGACTCACAATGGTGATAGAGGGCAGGTAGGCTAGGCATCCCGAGACTACTGAATGAGGCATTCCCACGAAATTTTACCATCTTCGGAGAGAAAGTCCGGGGCATCTGCAGTTTTTCGGGGATAGCCTCAGCTTTGTTGTGGGTAGTCCCGCTTGGATCAATCATCACAATCACTCACTCTCTACTTTTCAACACTAAGCATGAAGACCCAAGAACAATTGTTTTTCTTTTAGCTTTATTCTTTATTGTGTGAGTCT